CTCTGGTAGTGTGTTTTAATATGTTGCTTTTTATTTTTAGTGGATCTATATTAGGTTTTTGTGTTGTGGTTACCATGAGGCTTACCAAAAACATATTATAGACATAGCAAGTTATTTTAAACAGATGACAGCTTATCTTAGATCACAAATTTAAAAACAGAAACAAAGGCCAAAAAAACCCGCACATACACACATGCATGCGCGCACACACCCACCCAACACACACACACCAGTTCTACACTTTAACTCCATCCCCATTACATTTTGACTTAGTTGTCCTAATTTGCATATTTTAATATTACGTATCTCTTCACAGATTGCTGAAGATATTACTGTTTTTGATAGGTTGTCTTTTGGGCTTCATACTAGAGTTATGATTGTGGTAGTAGTAGTACTACATTGCACACTGCAGGTACAGTAAGTACAGTAAGAGGGTATTCTGGGTTTATCTATGTACTTGATTTTACCACTGAGTTTGAGACATTGAAAGGTTGTTTTTTATTTTTATTTTTTGTGCATTAGTGGTTTTTTATTTCAGATTGAAGAATTCTCTTTAGCATTTCTTTTAAGATGGGTCTGCTGGTCGTGAATTCTCTCTACTTTTGTTCTTTTGGGAAAGATTTGATCTCTCCTTTGTATTTGAATGATAATTTTGCTGGATTCTATATTCTTAGATGGCAGTTTTTTCTCTGAGCAGTTTAAAGAGGTCATTCAACTCTTTCCTGGCCTATGTGGGTTTTCCTTGAGAACTCTGTTACCAGGCAATTTGGAGCTCCTTTACATGTTGTTTGTTTCTTTTTCTCTTGCTGCTTTTAGGATTCTGTCTTTGTTCTTGAGCTTTGAGAGTCTGTTGCTTTGTGGTATTCTTATTTAGGTTGAATCTATGTGATGTTCTCAGACTTTCCTGTACTTGAATATTTATATCTTTTGCGGGTTTGGAAAGTTTTCTGTGATTATTTCTTTGAATATGTTGTCTACCCTTCGCTCTTGCTCAGCTGCATCTTGAATACCAATAATTCTTAGGTTAGGTCTTTTGAGGTAATTTTCTGTATCTTGTATGCAGTCTTTGTTCTTTTTTGTTCTTTTTTCTTTCTTCTCTGTGTCTTTTCAAATAGCTGGTCTTTGAGCTCACTGAATCTCTCCTCTGCTTTGTTCAGTCTGCTAAGAGCCTCTGATGAGTTCTTCAGTTTACCAAATGTATTTCTCAGTTCTGAGATTTCTGTTTGATTTCTTAAAAGTATTTCAATCTCTTTATCAAATATATCTGATAAATTTGTGAATTGCTTTTCATTTTTGTCTTGAGCTCATGAGTTTCCTTAAAATTGGTATTTTGAATTCTTAGCTCACAAATCGCCATCTTGTAGGGTTGGATTTTCCCTTGTCTTTTGGGGGAGGTCATAATTTCCTGTTTGCTGTTGTTTCTTGTGGGTGGGTGTCTGTGTCTTTGTATGGAAGGATTAGTTTTTAATTCCAGTTTTCTCTGTCTGTCTTGTTCTGTTTTTTATTGGATATGTTTGCTTAGAAATTTTTTACCGCTCAGCCTCTGCCACCGCTTTGGCCCTAGGTAACCTTTAAACCCAGGTTTGCCTTGGCTCTAGTAAGCGATGGGAGTGCTGCTTGTTCTGAATGAGGGAAGTCCCAAAGGGATTCTCCTGGCAGTGTGAGATGGCTGACTAGGAGTTTGTGCCCAAGGGATCTGTGGAATGTGCCTTCTCCAGCATGGTGCTGCTGAACAGCCGCTGTGATTCGGTGTCTTCTTTGGCCAAGTTACAGAGCAGAGTGTCCAGGACTAGGGCTGGTGGTCCCATCTCCCAACTTTTTCTCTGCGTGTTCTCGGGGATATTTCTCTCTTCAGGCAGTCACATCACTTCCTTCCCATGGGTTAAGGCAAGGACAGGTCTCCTGCAAGGAATCCCAGGAAGGTGAGAAAGCTGGTCGACCACCTCAGTCTCACTTTTCCAGTATCACTTTTCCACAAGTTGGAGGAGGATTTTCTGCACTTTTATTGCCGGGCAGAATCAGGGGGAGGGGCATCATGACTATGGAAGTCCAATTCTTCTTCCATCTGCATGGAGTTTTCCACTTCTCCGTGGCCTCAGGATCTGTCTTGTCCTCACGTTTGAGTTCTGGGTTGTTGCTGGTGAAAATCTTGTGCTGTATATTTGTTTTAGGTTTTCTGCGGAGGAATGGGAGGAGGGAAACCAGCGCGCTTCTGTGCCACCATTTTAAAATGAATGTCGCAAGGTCTGCTTTAAACAATATTAATAATAACAATTATTTTCACTTGATAAATAGCTGCTCTGTCTGATCTCAGATGCTTTGTGATGGAGAGCAGGGAGATCCCATCCCAGCTTAGTAGACAAACCTTAGAAACTGTTGTAGCCCTCATGGTTTACTTTTACCTTTTCTTTTTGTGGAGGAATGATGATGGTAGTGTTTGGCTTTCTTTTTGTTTATTTTGTTTTTTTAATCTTCAAACATTTAAAATTACTAAAGTAAATGTTTGCCTTTTCTTCATTCTTTCCGTTTTACTCTGAAATGAAATAACACGAAAATGGCAGATAGTTACAGAAAAGTGTGAATATCTATACCTAGACATGATTAAATATGCTTTCTTTATCTCCTGTAGTCAGATACAAGAGAAACGACACTAACAGGGAGAGATGACTGGCTGCAAAAGGCAGGGACCTTGGAGCCTTGTCTCTTCTAGTCATTGTTTTACCATCTTCAGAGAACTCACGCAAGTCCCCAAGCCTCAGCTTCATCTACAAAATGAAGAGTTCAGAAAAGATAGTTTCTGAGATTCTTCCACAAAATTCTTTTATTCAGACTAGGAAGCTAACTGTTGAACGTAAAATGAAGCCGATTTTGGTACATAGTGATGATTAGAACATGGGTTTGGCTGGATTTTGAATTCCATTCAAATCCATTGACTTTATGCCTCAAGAAAATTTCTTAGACTCCCCATGTCTCGCTTTCCTTATATGCAAATGAGGGTAATAATACCCATACCATAGAGCTACTGTGAGGATTAAAAGAGATTGAGGATTTGCTAAAATCCGATATTTAAAATTAGAACACATCATGTGACTATGATTGACATTTCATTTGAGGTACTTAGTCTGCTATTTTTAAGTTCTTAAAGTTTTTTAAAAAATATGTAAAGGCCTCAGTCACGGGTTCATGTTTCCGGTGTTCCCAGAAACAATGCCTATCCTTTGAATGTTGACACCTTAAGATGCCTCTGGAATTGACATTTAAAGTAACCCAGAAGCTTATTCTCATACAGGTATTTTTATTTTAGTAAAGGAAAAGTGAAATTTTGTCTTCCCTGTTACATAGAAAATGTTGATTTCAGGTAAAATCTAAATAAAAATGTATTAATAGCTTCTAATGACCTTTGCCTATGAAGAGACAAAAATAAAACTTAAATGTACAAAATTTGTGTAAGTTATAAAGCACTTAACGAATGTGTTATTGTTGTTGATAATACAATACCACAGTAATCAAACTCTGTAAATTACCTCAAGGCTAAAATTAATGACAATTGTATGATTTTCTTGCACTTACTATTTTAATGCTTTGCTATAGAAAGACAGTGGTTAAATAAGTAGGACTGGGTTGCCAGAGCAGATTTTCTTTAGTTTCCTTTTTTTTTTTTTTTTTTTTTAGCCAAAACTTGCCTTCTGAACTATTTTGGCCTTTAGAATTGGTTATTCAGTTTTTTGTTGCTTTCTTTTCATAAGCTCAGCAGATTGGTCTCTTTCAATTCTTAAGGAGTTCTCAAGACTTTGCCTTGAAATCCTGGGCAAGATAGAAGTGGAGGAGAGGAGTATATTAGCAATCTTTTGGATGGAAAACAAGATAGAAAATGACGATAAAGCAGAAATCTGTACCTAAAACCCAAAATAAATATACCCAAATACCTTTGTAATTATATGAGTGTTATAAAAATGTAAAGTCTAATAGAAAAGTTTAGATGATAAACCATCAATACTGTCTTTACCTTTTGAGCCCATGAATTTTTAGCACCAGGCTGATAGTATGTTCATGGGAGGGGAAATTCCACGCTTATTTCAAAGCCCTAAACAGAATTTTGGTACATATCTTCCTTTGGACTGTCAGCATATATTTGCAGACTAGTGACAGTGGTGGCATGGCCCAAGGATTGAATTTGCAGTACTACCATTGGTGGCCATTTAATAGGTAGAAGATGGATGTACAGAGAGAATAGTTGGAGATCTGTGTGCACATTTCCAAAGAGATTGGTTTACGGGAGAATGTTACTGTTACTTAAGATGTCCTCTGCAGTTTTGTATCTAGCCTGGACTAGTCTGTTATGGTTTGAAAGCAGATTAAAGCTATTGGACAGATGTGATATGTTCTTACACTGGCTCGTTACAGTGAAGGGAAGCAGACATAGGGGATTACTTTGTGATGAATTTCAGTTCTGCTGACTTCATTGAATTGATTGAGAGCTAAATTAAACATTTTAACAGTTATAAAAGTTAATACTGAAAAGATTAATACTTGAAGCTCTCCAAGCCTTAGAGTTTATCAGATATCTAGTATATGTAGGGATGAGGCAGTTATATAACAAGTTGTGGAGTATAGAAGGATCTGGTGAATTGAAAAAATAGAACATATAAGATGAAATCTAAACAGTACATCTTAAAGGCCTGTACTATCCTATCCTTTTTAAAAAGTCAAGAGTCAAGTATTCATTGTTTGCTTATTGAAATCTTGATAGCATTTGCTAACTCAGTGGTTCTAAAGTAAATCCTGGAGTTAAAATGAAATAAGGCCTTATTAATACATTTAAATGGCAAACAGTATTTAGGCAAATATTATAAATATCTGTATATTTATATCTAGTCCTAATATCCTAATTCAGTATCTCTCCTCTATGAAATAGAAAGCAGTTTTGTGCTATTGCATGAGCAATGCAATATTTATTTCCCATCTTGCAATGAAAACTGTTGATTGTTTGCTCTTCACAGGTCACTGACAAGGAACAGGAGTTTGCTGCCAGGGCTGCGAAACAGCTCGAATATCAGCAATTAGAAGACGATAAACTTTCTCAGAAATCATCTAGCAGTAAACTCTCTCGGTCTCCATTAAAGATTGCCAAAAAGTCTAAAAGCATGCAGTGCAAAGTGATACTTCTAGATGGATCAGAATATACCTGTGATGTAGAGGTAAGTGTGTGTCTTAAGACTTTTTTGTCCTAGATATTGAGAGCTGGGGAATGTTGGTATAAAATATACAAGATGCCTCTTTATTTCTCCAGGACTCTGGGAAATGACTCAAACCCAGTCTCTAAATATAAAATGATTTCCTAGTCTCTAACAGGGGATCAGATTAAAAATATGTGTAATGTCCCAAAATGTTACAATCAAAAGTAAAATGTGATCGTATATTTTTTAAAAGATAAAATCTCCAACAATATGGTAGGAACAACAACAACAAAAAACATTTGAAAGCTTTAAAAACAGACTTTAATATCCCGGCTGTGAGCTATTATTTACATGAATTTTATCCTTTTTTTGCATAATTTATGGCCACGTCATTTGTTACTTGGTGGAAAGCTTACAAATTCTGTACATAGGGGTGGTGGGATAATTCGAAAACGTCCATGACCTTCTCTTGCTTGGAGAAGGAGTAATTTTTAAAATGCACATTGTGGTGGGCATTGCAGTTTCAGTGTAAAAGGGTATACTCTTTGTTCTTCTTTGTAAGGAAAACAGATTCCTCTCAGAGAAATGGCAGTTGAATGCCTTTTGTCAGAGATGTTTGTCAAGACCAGATTAGCAGATGAGAACACAAGCTGTCTGGAGCTGCAGAGACGGCTGATTGTTGAGTTCTCTGAGTATAAGGGAGAATTCACACAGGGCATGAATTCAGGCTCTAGGAGCAGGTCTGTGTGTGCACCAAGATGGAGTGGCTTGCACCTTTAGCAAGGTGATTCCATTTCAGATGTGATGTCTTCATTCAAAGAGCTCATTCTTCCTGCCTCCAGCTCCTGGCCTTGTCATAAAGAGGGGAGGGTATCACACACATCTCCAAGCCAGCCCCTCTACCCTCTCATTCCACCATGCTTTCAAAGTCCACCCTTTCCTCAGGCTTGTGCTGAGACTCTGTCCCAGGCAGCACAGTCAGTGCACACGTGTGTGTCCTCACATATTTCTCTTCCTCGTCCCTCATGACAGCTAATACCAAGCCCATCTTATTTCCCATGTTCCCATTTACTCTGCTTCCTCTGTCTCCCAACCCCCATATAATTCCTGTTATGTTTTGTAAAATGCACTCATGCACCCAGTGTTTTTCTTGGAACAGAAGATTCAAATCCATTTCACGTTGAATTCATTTAGGATGAGGATGAGAGGTGGGTTACTAAATTGTTACAGATTGCAGGAACATAGAAAAAATCTATATGGTTTTTGAAAATAAAGTCCTACATCAAAAATTATTTAGTCTGTTGTGTACCAATTTATAGAAAATTTAGTCATCCTGTCTCCTTATAAACATTGATGGGCCGCTGCAGGAATCCCCAAGGACCGTGCACAAAACTATTTCTTGCCTTTTTCTGGCTTTGATTTTGTTTAATTTCTTAGACCAACGTGTCCAATTCCTCATCCAGATATGTACTCTGGAAACAGGCAGCTCCAGTAATATACTTGTAACTGAGTTTTACTATGAAACTTACAGTACTTTTATAACCTTGAGTGATACTGTATTTTTTCAGTGTAGATGCATTTTCTGGAAAAATTGATCCAAGTCAAGAGAAACTTTTCCTCTTAACTTTGAGGAGAGTTTTTCTATTGATTGCATTTATATAATGGAATAAATAGAGTTAACTGGCCATCTTCGAGTCCTGGCTATCAGAGTCTTCCAAGAGTCTAGAAGAACATTTATAGTATTTCACATAGAGAGGATAATGCCTTCGGGTTGACCGAGGCACAAGTAGTATCGAACATTTTGTCAAATTTAATTTATGTCTGTGCTTCAGATTCATTATAGATAATCACTGTGGTTACAAATTTTTTATTTTATATTTACCTTTCTTTTAATGTCACTGTGAACATTTTGAGTGGCACAGCAAACTTGGCCAGTAATTTTCCTCTATAATAAATTATTTTTATACGTTTGACAGATTCTTAAGAGTAACTTTTTTTCTGGGATATAAAAACTTTTGCTGGTAGAATTTTTTCAGTTTCACCACAGACATTGATATCAGAAAATACGTGTTCACGACTGACATCTTTGTGAAGAGGATGGAGAAATTTGGACACGGTAAAGTTCATGGATTAATTTGTAACCGATTGGTTGAATAAGAAAAATGAATTGTAAATCAAGCAGAGTGATTCTCAAGGAGGCAATGAGGTGCTAGTTAAAACAAAAACAAAAAAAAAACCATGTTACAATGGCTCTTGTGTTTTGATAGAAAGAAACAATGGAAAGTAAAGTTTGGCTGGTGAGCTACACACGGGGCATTCTAGGTAAACAGAGAAGGGAAAGCATTGTCCAGGGAAGGTGTGCTCCGGTGTTGGCTCTCCTTGAAACTGAGTCTGTATCAAAGACTTGATGAAAGCACAGAAACACAGCTGAACAATTATTTTTTAAGCAATATAGAGCTTTAAAGCCTACATTGCTTATTTAAAGAGGTTGATGCCTCAGGTGTCAGAATCCAGTTTTATTATGAAATGGACAGTGTGGGACACTGAAGCGAAGCAGGAAAGCTAACATTTAGCAGGAGTGGAGGTAAAACTTTACTCTGATAAAAGGGATCAAGTACAAAATGGAAATGTGTTTGCGAGAGGGGCAGTCAGACTTGGTAACAGTTTGGGTAAAACTCATCTTTAGCTTTGAGTTCATTACAAACTCATCGTGAACCAACAGTGTGTTACAGTTGTCAAAAGCATTTTGTAATCACAGGCTGTTCCGTGGAAGCGTAGTGTTCGGTTTGCAGAAGGCAGCGAGCCATCCTGTTCCCTGCGTTGCACAGATCCTGCCTGCAGGGCTGTGTTTCAATCACATGCGATAAATGCTCTGAAGCCACCAGACTGGGGAGGGCTGTTGGTAACCCGTGTGGTTTCAAGGAACTTCCTTAAAGTTTCTGAACCTAGGTTTCCTCAACAGAAAGATAAGGGTGAAAATACTTGCATTGAAAGGCATCATTGAGAAGATTAAAGCAAATAATTTATTTGAACACTTTCTGGGATGTAGCATATTCGTAATGGTCTGTGTTTGGTAATGATAATACGAACAATGGACTTTGACTTGAGCTTATTCAGCAAGAATTATAGGATGGTGAATGATCTGGAAGCTTTCATATGAGGAATGGTTAGAGAAATAGGATGTGTTAAATATGGGAAAAAAAAGATTGGTGTGGAGGACAGGAAAGCTATTCTCAGTTACTTGGAAAGGTGGAGACTGAAGGGTTGGTTATTGTAGCTTTTATGTATGAAAAGCAAAACTAAGGTAGAAGTTACAGAAAGTCAGATTGTAAGTTAACAGGAAAATAATGTCTTTAACGATCGCTGTCAACCTTGTGATGACATATGCACTACCATGGGGAGGGTTCCTGTAGAAACTGTAGGTGCGATTATGGAAGCCACTGGTTCCTCAGATGCTGCCTCAGACCATACCACATCCAGTGCCCCTTCCTACTGCCACTGATGGACAGAAGAGACACAGACACAAAGAAACCAGACTGAAAGAGGC